CGTGGGAGATGATAAAAAGGTTGGTTATTTTAAAGCAAGGAATATACAAAGGCGAGGTGAGAAGAGGCAGGGGAGGAAAATAGCAGCGCTGGTGCTGATAATCATAGGAACATTGATTGTAGCAGGTGGCATCGCGTTTGCAAGTTATGGAGTTTGGAATTCAAGGAGGTGGAGAAGCAGAGGTGAGGATGAAATGGGAATGCCATACAAGGATCTGAAATCAAGTTCATTTAGATCGATCGAGCTGGCTAACTCCTTCAGAAAGTGAGCGAGCCTGGTTCGTCGTCGGCCTTCCTAGTTTTGTCCATAAAACTTAACAGTGTGAATCAGAGAGGAAGTGCTATGCTCAATAGTTAATTGCTATGCAGACGATTTCTTTTTTTCAATATACAGTATTTCACACAATATGTTTTGCATTACTTCTATTCATAGCTTCATACGAAGTATGTTTTTTTTTTCTTTTAAATAGGAGCTAGTAAAGTTCAAGTAGTAGTATATCATTTCCTGTGTACATTTAAAAAGTTCAGTAAGTATGGTTAGTATTTTGGCAATATAGTACATTTTGAGCTGACATGGGATCTGAGAAAGTTTTCTAGAACTGATTCCTTTAATTAATGTACTCGGAATAACTCGGCAAGGCCTCTGTTCCAAAACCATCCAAGCCTAGATTAAAGACCAACCAACAGGATATACAAACCGAAGATATAGATAGAACTGCTCATCTAGCAGATATAAATCAATCATAGATTATATATTATGGAATATAATAGATGTTAGTTAGGTGATTCTGAATGGTTTTGAACCAATAGGGACACTGCTCACGTGTAATATAACTGCAAGTAGATATCAGGTACGACTCATCCAAGGCCCAATTTGATATAGATTTGAATTTGTGGTAGGGATTCAAACTTAGTCCAGCTACCTGCCCATATATAAAAGGATTGAGATTCTCTACTCATCAATAGTGGCTCTTAATATTTGCTAATGCATCTCCACCTTTCATTTTGTGGGTTCCACAAAATGAAAGGTGGAGATGCATTAGCAAATATTAGGAGCCACTATTGATGAGTAGAGGATCTGGTTAGATCTGGTTTGGTTGGATTCAGCAGACAAGTTCCCAAGTTTTTTGCTGGCAAAGCTCCACATTGTGTGCGCACAAAACAAAATCAAGTCAAATATACATTACTCATCCTCCCAAAGATCAAAACCGAAACTTTTCCTTCCCAAGCAGAAGTTTCAGGGAGAAAAACTATAATCAGAGGGCTTGCTGCACTCAGCTGTGGTACCTTCAAAAGGAAATGGATCGGGAGAGCTGCTTGTTACAGTTAAATTGATTGAGTTTTAATTTATGTTTTTATACAGTTGTTGATAATAGTGTTAGTAGTGAGTTTTTAGTCTCATATTGATTGTGAGAACACACCTCGCCCTCCTCTACTTGTATAAATATATGTGCACACTCAATATTCAATTCAAGGGGAAATTTACCCAAAACTCTCTCTCTTACTTTAACATGGTATCAGAGCTAGGGTTATTATTTCACTTTCAATAATTTTTTTTTAAAGCTTCTACGTTCTTTTGCCAAATCTTGGCCTTGCTGCTTTGCAGTTGTTTAACGTTTTTTTGCGTTTCTCTGTTAGATTTTTGGCATTGTCGCTTTACGGCCTCTTAACGCATTTCGCGTTCCATTTTAATATTCGGAGTTATATTTTAAACTTTCGGGTTCTATTTTAACGGCATTACTGTTTCAATATCATCTCTTGATCTCAAATTTACGGCATAGCAGTTTTTTTCAAGACCGTCTCTCGGTCTCAAACTAACGGCATCACTGTTTCAAACCGTCTCTCGGCCTCAAACAAACGACATTGCCGTTTCACAATCAGTAACGACATCGCCGTTTCAATCCTTCCCGACGTCTCAACGTCTCAACGTCTCAACATCGGCATAAATTCATTATAGGTCTCTGGCGTGAGCATCAAATCTGGCCGATCTTCATGCCACCTTGGTCGCCGGTTGCTTTTTTTTTTACTCAGATTTGACAGTCATGTTTAACCTTCGGGTTCTTACATTTTAACCTTCGGGTTTCTACATTAACCTTCAGATTCTCCTTTAAACATTCGGGTTTCGTTCACGAATTATTATTTTGAACTTTGAATTGCTGCTATTATGGCCTCTTCACTGGCACCTACTTCTCAGGCTCGGTCTAAGCTCTTTTACACCTATTGCAAGAAGGAGGGACACCGCTTTGAGACATACTTCCAGCTTCATCCTGAGTTACGTTCCTCAGGAACAGGCCGTAGTCAGCGATCCCCTCAGTCCCGATCATCTAGTGCACCAGGATTACCGATCAATGTTATACCATCTACCACTTTAAACCCTACCATTAGGACTGACCATGGTTCGGTCCAAACCGAAAAACCAACCGAACCGATCCGAACCGACCCGAAAAAATCGGTTTTATGAGTAGGGCGGTTCAGGTCGGGTTGAAAACTTTTCAACCCGAACCGACCGAATATACTACAAGTCTTAGTCTGTAATTCTCAAACCCTACCCGACCCGTCCCCAACCCAAAGAGTCAAAGACTCAAACCCTAAAGACCTAAACTCATTTCCTCTCCCAGCCGCCGCTCTTCATTTCCTCTCTCTCACTCAGTTCACTTCACCTTATCTTTTCTCCATGGCGCTATTTCTCAAGCCTCACGCTTCGACCCCTCACTCCCAGATCCGCTCTCTCCTAAAATCGCCACCCGTTCGCTCTTCTCGATCGTCTTTTTTCGTTAGGAACCCTGACCCTAGATGGAGCGTCCTCCAGGAGCAGCTCGGGCACGACGGCCGTCGCTGGCGGCAAGAGACGGGTTAGCTCTCTCTCTAGGCTGGATTTTTCTATTTTTTTTATGAATTTTGAAACTCAGGATGCTCTAAGATGTAAGCATTTAGGGTTTTGTTGATCTTTTTATTTAGTTTGAGCAGAGGAGGAACTTGTAGGCTATTAGGATTTAGGATCTCTTTGTCCGCACTTTTGGTGTAAGCATATATATATTAATGACCAAGATTGTGGTTGAGCTCTGTCACGATGAACAAAAATTTGATTTTTATTTTGTACATGAGGTAGGAATATATGGACTTTGTGTCTAATGATGATGGCTGGTATTTAGGGGGGGGGGATAAATTTGTAACTTTTTATGAAAATATTTATACCGTGGTGTTAAAATATTCCTTCCGACATCTATCTTCTTGGCTAGGTATCACTCCTTGTCATATTGAAATAATTAACTGCCAAGCTTACATACCTACTAATATTCTATCACCGAGTATCGGGATATGATAAAGTTAGACCGAACAAACCGAACCGAACTACACCGAACCGACTTGTAACGGTTCAGTTCGGTTTTGAATTATCGAGCCGAACCGTTATGATCTAATCCGTGTTTTTGGTTGTCGCTGTTTCGTTCTTCTGTCATCTCACGAACGTGATAAATTGTCTCCCAGAGTTGTTCTCTGTGTCTATTTAGGAATTAGTTCGGAACATCGAGGTTATCGTTGTTGTGATCCCGCATCTCGTCGAATTCATATATCTCGACACGTTCAGTTCGAAGAGGATTCTCTATTTTATTCTGCTTCCGATGATTTCAATTTCCTCCATACTATTGATCATGCTTCTCCGACAGCTGCATCACCCACTTCCTTACCTCAGTTCTCCTTTCGAGATCTCCCTGAAATCTCTCCATCTCCTTCTGTTGACTCTCCCTCGTCCAAGCCTTCTCTTTCACCATCTGATCCCTATCCCGTAGACACGACACCCACTTCAGAAAATACTGTTGACCTCTATGCACCTGCGCCAGCATCTCCTCCGCCTGAGGTTCCTCTTGCTTTTCGTCGAAGCAAACGCCCATATGTCATGCTTGCACGGTATGCTTCAGTTACTTCCTATTCATCTATCTTTTATAATTTTCTTGCTGCCATTCATACTACAGTTGAACCAAAGTTATTTCAAGAGGCCGTTCAATTTTCAGAGTGGCGACAGGTTATGGTTGAGGAATTTTAGGCTTTTCAGCAAACACATACCTGGGATGTTATTCCCTGTCCCCCTGGCATCTCTTTAGTTGGCAGTAAATGGGTTTATAAGGTCAAGTATCGTTCTGATGGCACAATTGAACGTTAAAAAGCTCGTTTAGTGGCTCCAGATTTTACTCAGTAACAATGTATTTATTATGAGGAGACATTTGCTCCTGTTGCTCAGATGCCCAGCGTTCGTACTCTTCTTACGGTCGTTACTGCTCATCGTTGACCCTTATACCAGATGGATATCAAAAATATTTTTCTCCATAGCTCTTTATCAGAGACGGTATATATGCAACCGCCTCCAAGGTCCAATATTCCTTCAGGACATGTATATCTCCTTAGCCGTACTGTTTATGGTCTCAAGCAGGCACCTCATACTTGATTTGAGTATTTTCGCGATGTCATGCTCAAGGCGGGCTTTATGAAAAATCACCAGGATGCTTCTCTGCTTGTTCGCACTACATCGCGTGGCAGAATTTTATTACTCATCTATGTAGATAATATGATCATTACAGGTGATGATGTGGTAGGTATACAGTACACAAAATCTCAATTGCAACAACAGTTCCACATGAAGGATCTTGGATCTCTTCGGTATTTTTTAGTCTAGAAATTTCTCAAGGCCCGCGGGGTGTACTACTGTCTCAACAGAAGTATCTCTCGGATATTCTAGATCAAGCTGAGCTAATTGACGATGCAATTATCGATACTCCACTCCAACAAAATATCAAACTTCGCTCTACTGATGGTGAGCCTCTATCTGATCCTACCCGATATCAACATCTTGTTGACTAGTTGGTCTATATGTACATCTCTCGACTAGATACCTTTCATGCTGTTGATATTGTTAGTCAATTTGTTAGTGCCCCATGTTCTGTACACTATGTTGCCTTATTACGGATTCTTCGGTATCTCCGGGGTACTAGCACTCACTCTCTTCTGTTTCCTGGTACATTCAAGTTAGAGCTTTGTGCATATTCTGATGTTGTTTAGGCTGGTGATCCCACTACCAAAAAGTCTACCACGGTTTATTGTATATTTCTTGGTGATTCCTTAATTTCTTAGCGGAGTAAGAAACAAGATGTTAAGAAACAAGATGTTGTTGCTCTTTCCAGCACCAAGGTAAAATATCGTGCAATAACCACAACAGCTAAAGAAATTATTCATCTTCGTCATCTTCTCAGTGATTTCGGGATTTCTGTTTCGACCT